CAGCCTTACTAGAGACCTTAACAATGCAAGGAATTCGCAAGAGCTGGCGAAATATACACAAACACTGATCTCTGGCTGAAGGAGACTCGAACCTACGAACCTTGGAACAAGGTACGCAGTGCTTTACCAATCTACCCACACCTTGGATTCCAGTTTGCGCTAGACTTTGATCCAAGCGCAAGCTTTGGGTTCGTAGGTTCGAGTCTCCTTCAGCCAGAGATCAGTGTTTGTGTATATTTCGCCTGCTCTTGCGAATTCCTTGCATTGTTAATATCTCTAGTAAGGCTGATGCATGCAGGGGATGAGATGAAAAGCTGTAAACCTTCTCCATGAAAGCTGGCTGCCTTGGATAATGAGAACCTTCAAAACTAGGGAGGCCAAGCCCATGATGACACTCTTCAGGTCACTTGTTCTATCTAGGCTTGAATATTGCTGCACACTAACAGCACCTTTCAAGGCAGGTGAAATTGCTGACCTAGAAAATGTACAGAGAACCTTCACGGCACGCATAACGGAGATAAAACACCTCAATTACTGGGAGCGCTTGAGGTTCCTAAACCTGTATTCCCTGGAACGCAGGCGGGAGAGATACATGATTATATACACCTGGAAAATCCTAGAGGGACTAATACCGAACTTGCACACGAAAATCACTCACTACGAAAGCAAAAGACTTGGCAGACGATGCTACATCCCCCCAATGAAAAGCAGGGGTGTCACTAGCACGTTAAGAGACCATACAATAAGTGTCAGGGGCCCGAGACTGTTCAACTGCCTCCCAGCATACATAAGGGGGATTACCAATAAACCCCTGGCAGTCTTCAAGCTGGCACTGGACAAGCACCTAAAGTCGGTTCCTGACCAGCCGGTCTGTGGCTCGTACGTTGATTTGCGTGCAGCCAGCAGCAACACCCTGGTTGATCAGGCTCTGATCCACCAGGAGGCCTGGTCGCAGACCGGGCCACGGGGGCGTTGACCCCCGGAACTCTCTCCAGGTAAACTCCAGGTAAACCTAGGGATTGGGAGAGAGCATGCATAGTTCCTTTGTACAAAGGCAAAGTGGACAAAAGAGAGTGTAAAAATTATAGGGGGATAAGTCTGTTGAGTATACCTGGTAAAGTGTATGGTAGAGTTATTATTGAAAGAATTAAGAGTAAGACGGAGAATAGGATAGCAGATGAACAAGGAGGCTTTAGGAAAGGTAGGGGGTGTGTGGACCAGGTGTTTACAGTGAAACATATAAGTGAACAGTATTTAGATAAGGCTAAAGAGGTTTTTGTGGCATTTATGGATTTGGAAAAGGCGTATGACAGGGTGGATAGGGGGGCAATGTGGCAGATGTTGCATGTGTATGGTGTAGGAGGTAGGTTACTGAAAGCAGTGAAGAGTTTTTACGAGGATAGTGAGGCTCAAGTTAGAGTATGTAGGAAAGAGGGAAATTATTTCCCAGTAAAAGTAGGCCTTAGACAAGGACGTGTGATGTCACCGTGGTTGTTTAATATATTTATAGATGGGGTTGTAAGAGAAGTAAATGCGAGGGTCTTGGCAAGAGGCGTGGAGTTAAAAGATAAAGAATCACACATAAAGTGGGAGTTGTCACAGTTGCTCTTTGCTGATGACACTGTGCTCTTGGGAGTTTCTGAAGAGAAGTTGCAGAGATTGGTGGATGAATTTGGTAGGGTGTGTAAAAGAAGAAAATTAGAAGTGAATACAGGAAAGAGTAAGGTAATGAGAATAACAAAAAGATTAGGTGATGAAAGATTGGATATCAGATTGGAGAGAGAGAGTATGGAGGAGGTGAATGTATTCAGATATTTGGGAGTGGACGTGTCAGCGGATGGGTCTATGAAAGATGAGGTGAATCATAGAATTGATGAGGGGAAAAGGGTGAGTGGTGCACTTAGGAGTCTGTGGAGGCAAAGAACTTTGTCCTTGGAGGCAAAGAGGGGAATGTATGAGAGTATAGTTTAACCAACGCTCTTATATGGGTGTGAAGCATGGGTGATGAATTTTGCAGCAAGGAGAAGGCTGGAGGTAGTGGAGACGTCATGTCTGAGGGCAATGTGCGGTGTGAATATAATGCAGAGAATTCGTAGTTTGGAAGGTAGGAGGAGGTGCGGGATCCAAAACTGTTGTCCAGAGGGCTGAGGAAGGGTTGTTGAGGTGGTTCGGACATGTAGAGAGAATGGAGGGAAACAGAGTGACTTCAAGTGAGTATCAGTCTGTAGTGGAAGGAAGGCGGGGTAGGGGTCGGCCTAGGAAAGGTTGGAGGGAGGGGATAAAGGAGGTTTTGTGTGCGAGGGGCTTAGACTTCCAGCAGGCATGCGTGAGCGTGTTTGATAGGAGTGAATGGAGACAAATGGTTTTAATACTTGACGTGCTGTTAAAGTGTGAGCAAAGTAACATTTATGAAGGGGTTCAGGGAAACCGGCAGGCCGGACTTGAGTCCTGGAGATGGGAAGTACAGTGCCTGCACTCTGAAGGAGGGGTGTTAAGAACACCATTCCGGTATCTTAATAAGGAGTCATTCAGGACCCTGTACACTGTGTACGTTAGGCCCATATTGGAGTATGCAGCACCAGTTTGGAACCCACACCTAGCCAAGCACGTAAGGAAACTAGAGAAAGTGCAAAGATTTGCAACAAGACTAGTCCCGGAGCTAAGGGGTATGTTCTACGAGGAGAGGTTAAGGGAAATTGACCTGAAGACACTGGAAGGCAGGAGACATAGGGAGGATATGATAATGACATATAAAATACTGAGAGGAATCGACAAGGTGGGCAAACAGGATATTTCAGAGATGGGACACAGCAACAAGGGGTCACAGTTGGCAGTTGAAGACTCACATGTACCACAGGGATGTTAGGAAGTATTTCTACAGTCACAGTTGTCAGGAAGTGGAATATTCTGGGCGGTGATGTAGTGGAGGCAGGATGCATACATAGCTTTAAGAAGAGGTATGATAAAGCTCATGTAGCGAGAAGAGTGACCGAGTAGCGGCCAGTGAAGAGGCGGGACCAGGAGCTGTAAATGAACACCTGCAACCACAACTAGGTGAGTATACACACACACACACACACACACACACACACACACAACAACTAAATAATGTACCTGACAGAAAAATTTATTTTTCATTCAAAGGTCAAAGCATTACCGAAGATATTGCAGTAAGGTTACGAAATATCTCCTGCAGCTGTTTCTCTCTGTGAATTAACTCAAATATATATGACAGTTTTGTTTCAGCAGCACAAATACTATCTATCAGCTACAAACTTGGTTAAAATTCGATGGGCAACCTGACTGTGTTTACCCTCAAAAAATTTATAAGGATGAGAGATTTTTCTTAATGGAAACGTAAATTATTTTCTCATATTTACATTAACAGTAAAAAAGTGTTTTAGATCTTTTGTTTTATATATGAATTTTATTTGTGTTTATAATCTCTCATTATGGGTTAGAAAATTTTCTACCAATCATTGTCTCATTTCCTGGAGCAGAACACTTTTGATATATAATGTTTTGTAATTAGAAGTTTTTACACGTTTTAGAGAGATGTAAAATTAAAACTGAGAAATTTTATTGAGCGCTGCATTATATATCCATTCCTGTAATTTTTTTTTTTTAAATCCATTGTTTCTATCCTCTAGAAACACATGAATTCATTCGCAAATTTCAATATGGTTATAAATTATTATATAAAACATCAATAAACATTTTTATTCTGAAAATACGTGACAATTTTTTTTAAGGCTTGTACCTACGTATGTAGACATCGGATCTTCACCAAGACCTAGATAATGAGACCAAAATGGCTTGAAATGTTTTAATGGGGTATTCAGTTATACTTATAAATCTCACCCATTCTTCTGTCCTCCTTCATCAACCTTCCCTCATAACTTACCCATCAAATCTTTTCATCCTCTTCCCCCTTATTCCTTTATCTTCATTCCCTCCCATCTCTCCTTTCTCCCCTAACAGCCTAAATAAATGTCTGACCTCACCGGACTTGTTAATTTGACGAAAGGCAAACTCATTTTGTTTGAAATTTTTACTGTTCCACATACAATGCGTTTAAAATTAAGTAATGTACCAGTCAAGTTTGTTTGCTGTGGGAAATTCGTTCACTCGTCGTAGCCTTCTGTTTGACTTTACTTCCAACTAACATATATGTGTTGTTTACTACCCGGGACATTCCTGTGGTCGTTTCGGTCCTTTCTAAAGCATTATCAAATCATTTGCGACTTAATGGTAGGTGATTGGTTGAAACCTCTCCTGAAGTTTCCTCTTCGAATTGTAGATTAGTTATGAATTGCTCTGGGGCGTTTTAGTCGACTTTATCTCCCCACAATTCACATGATAACCTTCTGTTCGCCTACCCGAGTACATAGTTGGTATTGCTATTTTGCTGACATTTTGAATCGTTATCTCCCTGACTAGCTTTTATTGTTTCATCTGACCAACCACTCCGCTTTTTTAAGGTTTAATTACCTGTAAAATATATATTAAATTCGTCCATTATTACTGCGGAATGGGTCATAGAGGCCTATTGTATCTCAACAGGAACTGGCATGTTTTAGATTTAAGACTTATCAGCTTTACATAGGTCATTAATTCGCAAAATCATTAGTTACTCAGGATTAATTTAATCCCAAAGATTGGATTATAAAGTAAACTCAGTGTATATACATTGAGAGATAAGCACCTTTAGGTATACAAGTATATCCTGTAATTGTATACCCTTCATCCACCATACGAAAACAAAGGTGTCGCTTACGCATATAGCTGCTATCTATTACACAGATGTTATCTGTTATGCCCAGGTGCTATCCATTACACACAGATATTTATCACTACGTACACCAAGCGTGTTGGGTTACCCCAGACACACTATTACACGCAAATGCAATCTAACATGTAATTAGAGGCGTGAGTCAGCCCTTCGGGAATGTGGGGATTGGAGTGGGGTTTGGGGTGTAAGAGAAAGGGTCTTATCTCACCTGTCTCTCCATTGAGTGATGAGTCTTGCACGGCAAGAATACTGAAGCGCCGAGCTGGGCTGTGATATTCGTCATACTGTTGTTTTTGGCTGTTGCTGATGCTGTCACCGTTAATCCTACTTGTTCCTCCTCTTCTCCTTCCGCTCCTCCTCCTCCTCCCTGCTCCTGCTGATCCTCCTGCTGCTGCTTCTGCTTCATCACCCTCGTCGACGGCGTAAGCAGCAGCGGAGACGGAGGCTGCGGTCACCACTGTGATATGTGGTTCAGGTGGATCTTCACCTGCCGCTCGTGAAGGTAAGGGCGTCACCCATCGTGGTTCCCGACCCCCGTCACCTGACCCTGCAGGAGAGACAGCGTAGTCAGTGCATTTATTACAGTGGTAATAACTGCAACAGGAATACATGAGCAAACACATCCAAAATACAATGTCATTTGCTCATTTTCTTTTTAACCACAATTTGTCGGTGTTATATACCTGGTTTGCACCATAATAGGAATAACATGGAAATATACAACAGCTTATATATCGCCGGCGAGCAAAAGGACACAACATATTTGTGTAAAATAGATTTCTCGGAAATATACTTGACACGCAAAGGTCTTACCCGCCAAGAAAAAATCATTTACGTTAATTATTTTTGTTTTCACTCCTACAAATAGATTAAAAAATTCCGTTTTCAGTATAAGTTAAATTATAATTAATGCAGAGCAATAAAGTAATGCATTTTGTCTATAAATATCTCAAACACGAGTACAAAAAAAATATGCAATAAATTATATAGAAATAAGCCGGATAAATAGGAGAAAAAAGTTTATGAAAGAAAAACTTGTGACTTGTAAATGGTCCAACATGGACCGAAACGTCGTCATAAGTTTCTCTCCCCTATGTGCGGGTTGTTTGTTCCAGTCGCGGTATTGTGCTTTTTTGTTATTTCTGCAATAAATTAGCTAGAACAAAGAAAGATGAAAAGACCTTGAAGTAATCTTCAGCAAGGACCTCAAAAGTACTAAGCAGTGACTATCATCAAGCAGAAAAACTAGCAGAATGCTAGATTTCACAGATATAAACTTCTAGCACAAATCATCAGGCACTATAATGGCTATAATTCCTTGTTACACGCATTTTGAATATGACGACCAGCTATGGTCTCCATATTACATAAGACAAAGATATCATGGAGAGAGTAGAGAGAAGAACTACCAAGCCCATTACTCGGAAACAAACTTTGTGAAGTAAACTATACCACTGGTGGGGATAGAACCCGCGGTCAGACAGTCATAAAACTCCAGACCGACGCGTTAGCCACTGGGCCAACTGGCTAAAGTGAGATTCATCCAAGTATGTATATTTATACACCATAAGAATGTTAGCATAGGCACCACTGTGACAACGAATACAAGTTTTTACAGACGAAGCTCCTGCCAGCGTGTCATTATTATTTCGTGAGTCTTGTGAAGTAAAATTTAAAGCACTCTACTTTTTTCCCCTTTCAGGAAACGGAGATTACGAGATCTCATTCAAACATTTAAGGTACTGAATGGCTTTGACACTCTCAAACACGAAGAGCTGTTTGAAGCACTGAACGAGTCCATAACTCGACACAATTGAATGAGACTGCGAGAGCAGAAGATGCAACACGAACGTATGTAACTGTTTTGCAAACAGAATTATGAGAGAATGGAATAAACTAAGAGCTAATGTTGTAAGCGCGATGATAATACAGTCGTTCAAGAACCATCTGGACAAGTACTGTGTATTCGTTGTTCAGTCGTTGTGTGTAGTGGAGGAAGAGCCAGGGGCGACCTTGTTGCCTGCTACTGCTGTTCCTATTGCTACTGCTGTTATTATTGTTACTGCTGCTGCTGTTGTTGCTGTTGATGCTGCTGCTGCAGCTGCTTGTGTTGTTATTGCTACTACTAATGCTGCTTTTTTCTTAATTGCTGCTGCTGCTACTACTTCTGTTGCTGCTTCTGCTACTGATGTTGTGATTGCTACTACTGTTATTGGTACTGCTACTGCCGTTATTGCTGTTATTGCTACTGTTGCTGTTATTACAGCTACTGCTGCTGTTGCTATTACTGCTGCTGATCTTACTGCTGCCACTGCCACTTCTGCTGCTACTTCTGCTGTTGTAGTTATTGCTGCTGCTGTTGCTACTGTCTCTGCAGCAGACGCAGCGTCTTCTACCTCTTCCCGTCCCCTCAACTCCATTCCAGGATAGACCACACCCCAACATTCCCCTAATCCTACCCCCTCCCTCCCTTCCTCCCCCAATCCCTCTTTCTCCCCACTAAGCCTGGGTGGAGTCATTTATCTTCCCAGTATGAAGCCAAACAAACGTCAGTAGTACAGGGAATTCCTCCTCCAACCCTCCACCTTCCTCCTATTTATTCCCCTCCTATCCTCTCCACTTCTCCCTACCCTTTTCTTAACCCTTCTTCACCTATCACTAATATCTATTTTCCTTTCCCACACTCCTATTCCTCATTACTTTCCTCTGGGAACCATTCAAGGATATCGAATATATTTATAAACAGGAGGTAATCTATAATGTACATTAGTCAACATTCTGGGAAGGTCGACATTCCGTGGATTCCCAACACGAACCAGCGGCACTATTGCCAGTGAACACGTACGCATGCATGCATGCGAAAATCAAACGCACGCGAGAAGCTCACGCATGCAAACACCAAGTGTGTTCCGTTCAACGACTGTATAATAAAACGCGCAAGATTATTACATAGTGCAAAATGCTTCATCCTCTGTAATACAGGCTCAAATGCTTTTTACATAGCTCTGTAAGCTACTGGGTCTCACTGGTTGTTTAATGATGTTTTAAGCCTATAGACTACACGAGTGTCATTAAAGGTACCATTTCTCACTAAACTGAGAAAACGCGAGGTAAACTTCTTCCTGACAATACTAAACTTCCAATATCTGCTCTAATGTCGCAAAAAAAAAACGATTAGTTTTACCAAACACTCGAGCACGAACAAACAGATGGATTTACAATAACACACACACACACACACACACACACACACACACACACACACACACACACACACACACACACACACACACACACACACACACACACACACGAACACACCTGTAACTAGGTGGCTAATTCAATCGACTAATATCAGAAATCTTACGAGGTCATTCCTGAGAGAGAGACAGACAGAAATTGACAGAGAAAAAGACAGACAGGAGGTAAGAGAAACAGACAGACAAAAATGAGTGAGTTAAACCAAACAAGGAAGAAACAGGGGGAACTGGCAGTAAGGGAAAATTACGACAGGATGAGGGAGAAGAGAGGAAGTAATTGAATAAGTGATATAAAGGACACAGAGACAGAAAGACAATTATCAAGTGAAACAGGGAGAGGAAAAGAGAAACCTAAATATAAATTAGGAAGAGGCAGAGCAGGAGATTAGAAAAGCCGGGGGAAATGAAAGAAGAGAAGGGTGAATGCAACTGAGAAAGTTGTAATACATAATCGAAAATGTGAGTTAATTAAAGAAAAGACTACGAATGATGGGAATGTGACATGGATAGCAATGTGAACGAAAAGAGGGAAGAAACAGAAAAGTGGATGATAGAGACAAGAGAAGGCATCTTAACATAGAAGGACGAGTGAAATATGTCAGGAACTTAATCAGAGAATAGAGAAAAATATGAGAGTGAAAGAGAGAGAGAGAGAGAGAGAAAGGGGGGGGGAAGAGGAGGGAGAGAGGGAGAGAACGAATATGCAAAAAAAAAGGGAAAAAATGAAAGAGTAGCTAAGTAAAGAAAAAATGTTAGAAATCACCTTAACAAGAAAGAAATAAAGACGAGAGAGAGAGAGAGTAAAAAATATTAAGATTATTTAAAATATAAGAGAAATAGTAGTGAAATGAAAAAATCTAAATTATTCTCTTTATTATTTGATAAATGGTTTTGAAAACCGACAAGTTGAAGATTGAGACACTTATGCAGCATATGGAACTTTAGTGAAGACACGTATCACCACACAGCGGCTTCATCAGTCCAATACAAAGCGGAAAGGCGTAAGGAGAGGAGGAGTTTGAGGTAATCAGTCCCTCATCCTCCATACACATTTCTCCCTTGTATTCGACCGGTGAAGCCACTGTGTGGCGAAACGTTTCTTCAGTAAAGATTCCCATATGTTGCATTAATGTCACATTCACATACGTTGCATAAATGTCACAAGAAAAGGCGAGGAGAAGGAAAACATAAGTAAGGAAAATGCAGGAAAACACGAGAAATTAAATAACAATTGATGATTTGAGACACAGAAAGGGAGAATGGCAACAGGATTGAATAATAAGTAGAAGGAAGGAGAGAAGAAGATGAAAGATAACGTGAAAAGACACAGAGAAGATGTAATTATTGAAACATTGATAATCAAGAAGCAGGATCAAATGAAAACAGTTAAAAAGATAGAATTATTACAAAGGAAATAACTGGTAAGCGTAAGGAGTAATTAATGCAATTCTGAATGCATGGGAGTGCACAGAGCTACATGGGAGTGCATAGAGGTACATAGGAGTGTATAGAGGTACATGGGAGTGCATAGAGCTACATGGGAGTGTATAGAGACACTTGGGAGTGTATGGAAGTACATGGGAGTGTATAGAGGTATATGGGAGTGCATAGAGCTACTTGAGAGTGTACATGGGAGTGCATAGAGGTACATGGGAGTGCATAGAGCTACATGGGAGTGTATAGAGGTACACAGGAGTGCATGGAAGAGTATATGATCACATGGAAATCCATGGGAAAGCATGGGAGTGCATAGAAGTACATGGGAATGCATAGAATTACGTGGGAGTGCATAGGCGTACATGTGTGTGCATGGGAGTACATAGGAGTACATGGGGGTGCATGGGAGTGCATAGGAGTACACAGATAGGGGAGATTACAGACCCCACTGATCATATCAAGGTTATCTTCAGAGAAACAATTGAATCGCAGTTGAAATTAGCATAGTATAGCAGAAGGTTCTCTTCCCGTCCTTCACTCAGCTTCCCGACAGAATATGTAAAAAATGGCTCCGTAATATTAAGGAAAAAGAAGGGCTATAATATTTACAGAGAAGGTGGAAATAGATATTGACTACTAACCTCTACTACTGTTTATTAGTCTACTAGCCACTACTACTGTTTATTAGTCTACTAGCCACTACTACTTTATTAATCTACTAATCTCTACCACTGTGTTAGTCTACTAACCACCACTCCTCTATTAATCTACTAACCACCACTACTCGATTAGTCTACTAACCACCACTACTCTATTAGTCTACTAACCACTATTACTGTATCAGTCTACT